AAAAAAAAAAAAAAAAAAAAGTTCAGAAAACAAAAACGAAGTTCAGTGAACGTCAAGCACAGTTACGGAAGAATGACAGGAACATTGATTGATTGATTGATTGCTAATGATCGAGTGATTGATTGATTGATTGATTGATTGCCAATGATCGAGTGATCACTCGATCATTGGCAATCAATCAATCAATCAATCAATCAATCAATCAATCAATCAATCAATCAGTAGATTCAATACATTCAAGTGATGTCCATGCATGCATGCGTGCATGCAACCAACCCAGTACCAAGCAAGAAGTACGAAGTTACGAACAACTGACGTCGAGTTCAACACGCATGCATTCTTGCATGCAACCAATAATCCACAGACAGAGGGCCCGTTTTTTTACGAACCGCCGAGTACCAAGAAGTACGAAGTCGCTCCCTCATAAGCCAAGAAATCAGACAGATCAGCGCCTTTATTGCATCTTTTTTTTTTTCCATAACGCATGGCCGACCCTGACATGTACGAGAGGGAAAGAAATGTCGTCACAATCGACAAGAAGCGATTCAATACATTCAAGTGATGTCCATGCATGCATGTGTGCATGCAACCAACCCAGTACCAAGCAAGAAGTACGAAGTTACGAACAACTGACGTCGAGTTCAACCACGCATGCATTCTTGCATGCAACCAATAATCCACAGACAGAGGCCCTGTTTTTTTACGAACCACCGAGTACCAAGAAGTACGAAGTCGCTCCCTCATAAGCCAAGAAATCAGACAGATCAGCGCCTTTATTGCATCTTTTTTTTTTTCAATAACGCATGGCCGACCCTGACATGTACGAGAGGGAAAGAAATGTTGTCACAATCGACAAGAAGCGAGAAAGAGACGGAGGGGTTGATGGAGGGAGGGAGGGAGGGAGGGAGGGAGGGAGGGAGGAGGAGAGCGAGAGAGAGCGAGAGAAACGGACGAGGCGAACGGGAGAGGGAGAGGGGTTGATGGAGGAGGGAGGGAGCGAAGGAGGAGGAGAGCGAGGGAGAGGGAGAGAAATGGACGACGCAAACGGGAGAGGGAGAGACGCCACAAACGTGAGAGAGGGAGATGAGGGGTAGCGAGGAGGGAGAGAGAAGAGGGAGACGAAAGCACGACTAGGGACAGAAGACACAGAGGGAGGGAGGGAGGAGGAGAGCGAGAGAGAGCGAGAAAAATGGACGAGGCAAACGGGAGAGGGAGAGGGGTTGATGGAGGAGGGAGGGAGGGGAGGAGGAGAGCGAGAGAGAGGGAGAGAAATGGACGAGGCAAACGGGACAGGGAGAGATGCCACAAACGTGAGAGAGGGAGACGAGGGGTAGCAAGGAGGGAGAGAGAAGCGGGAGACGAAAGAAAGACTAGGGACAAAAGACTTAGAGATCAAAGAGATGAAAGTGGAGAAGCGGGAGACGAAAGAGGGGACGCGAACGAGAAAGTGGAGACGTCTCTTTTTCTTGCGCACGCTGCACAGACACGACATTCTAGGAAAAAAAAAAAAAAAAAAAGCCCATCAAGATCGTGAAGAAAAGAGCGAGCGAGCGAGAGAGAGAGAGAGAGAGAGAGAGAGAGAGAGAGAGAGAGAGAGAGAGA